TGTTTCTGAGCGTCGTAAGCAGTCCCCTTGCCTAGGATATTGGAACGCATTTGCGTCTGCGCACCCAACAGCGCCCACACGTACGTTCGAATCGAGTCGTTCAATCTGGTGACACCGGCACGAGTAAACCCTTTCGACGTGTCCAGCATGAACTTTTTCCAGTCATCCGCTGCCCCCTGCTCAAACCTCCAGACTCTGTAATCCTTACTGTTGTCGAAAGCCATGTAACGGTCATCCCACTCGTTGGTTGTGAGGTGATGATACGACTTGTATCCCCATTCCTTCAATTTCTTGCTGGCTTCCACGAGGTGCATGTTATGAACGATGGGGATACCCAACCCGTGGTTCGGTCCCGGCAAACGCCAATCCGTCTTCGGGTTTAGTTCGAATTCGTTACAAATACGTTCATAGGCCCATCTATCGTACTTGTTGTTTACTGCGTTCCATGCGTCGTCCTGTGGGAGCGGGGCGCTGATTTCTTTGAGGATATGCCTGACCTGGTAGTACACGTGGAACGTGACCACAGACTGACTCAGCGGTCCACGCCGAGTGTCGGTTAATGTCACACCACACCCCGTTGTAGCGCACCACACGGCGAAGTTGAGTTGATTCTGCCAGAACTGCATCGGGTTGTTGAACCAAGCATGAACTACCTTAGCGTTAGTCACCAAAAATTTATACAGGCTGAACACATCTAAAAGCTGGGCGTTGAAATACATCCCATCAGCAACCGCGATCTTCATGGGTGAGAAATCTACGCCCAGTTTAGGGTAAAACACTCCAGGGAAGTAAGACACTCCTTGCGAGGATGCTCCTCCTTGGGAGTACATTTTAAAACTATTATATAATGAGCATATATACTCTAACATGTACATAACACTTCCAGGAATAACGAGCGGCGAGGCCGTTCAGCTGACGCATGCGATCGATAACACGTTGGGTCAACTCGAAGTCGCACTCTGTGATATCACCTACCTACCGCAATGGACTAACATCAATGCCAGCAACAATAAGCTGTTCATCAGTGGAGCTCGCAGCCAGATAACTGACGGCTACTACAGCGTGTGCTCTCTAAGCGACGAGGTCTTCAAACCCCTGGGAGCCGAACTCAAGATGAACGACTCAAACGGTACAGTGGTGTTAATCAACAACGGAAGAAACTCCTTGAGACTCGGGCGGCCATTAGCGAGGACACTCGGTATGTTGCCTGACGAGATAAAACCAACAACAACCGTCACAGGCATGAAGTTACCCGACCTAGTACCGTACCGAGAGCTGTACTTTCATCTCGGCATGGTGAGCACAACGTACAACATTCAAGGGGGTCACCCTTCCACTATACTGAGAGCCGTACCGGTGAAAACGGAGAAATACAACGACGGTAGAATGGAGTCGTTTTCACCGCGGCAGTATAAGAGGTTGACTCAGGGCAACATACCTGAGCTGATAATATCGGTGTTAGATATAAATCATAATCCCGTCAATATAGGATACCTCAGCTTAATGCTTCACATAAAATGACCAGCGCACAAGGGCCCGGGGTGAAAAAATGCGTCAATGTGGGGATCTCCGACCTTGGGGACACACGCGGTTTCGATGCTCCCGGAGTAGATGGTACATTGTACGCCTTGCAACTGAAAAACAACATTTACAAACGCGTTGAAGTCCCCTCCGGTGGAGCCCTAGGTGATATAGTAGATACCACAAGAGCGGTCGTCAACACTAAGTACACCCTAGTCAACACCGGTGACGATAAATGGATAATATACCCATCGTTCGGAGGCAAACTGTTCTACTTAGACGATGTTGAGAGCACTACCGAAACAAGCCATATACCCTCGTCTTCACCGAAGATGACAAGTGGGTGTTGTTACCCGATAAAGACGACTGGTTTCTCAATATTAGGCTCTGCTCCCCCTACGTGTTCACGGATAACAAAGACAACCACCTAAACAAAGTCGTAAACAACGGAACCCTGCTAGTGGCTTACGTCCCGACTCAGAGACGTAGCGTAGTCATCAGCCCACTCACCAGTATGGCAGCCCACATGCTATCGGGTAAACCGAACATGCAAAACGTGGTATTGCAGTTGGTGTCTGAATTCGAAGGCGTGGTCAAGATCCTGGAGAGTCTACCGGCGAACTCAACACTGGTCATCCAAGTCTACCTAGGGGAACCATCGGGGAATGATGTTGAGATCGTGAAAGGGATCAAACTCGGGTGGGCGAAACGACACCAGTATCAGGTTTGCAACGTTTACGTGCGGGTGGGTGTCGACTCCAAAACCAGTCTGCAGGGAGTCAACGTGATCGTGGAAGACATGATATCACTAACCAAGATATTCCTACCCGACAACATACACTTCATGGGGGTGAAGTTCACCACTGAACTATTATCAGAAAACCAGTTGGAAATTATCTCGTAATAGTATTATAGCAATGACCGGTCATCGTCCCAACGCTACACTTAACGACCTAGGGGACATGGAGGGATTCGATCAGCCTGGTGAGGAAGACACCTTGTACGTCCTATTATTTAAAAACGGTGTGTACATACGGCAGGACCTGGCAGACTTAAAGGAGCCCAAATGGGTGATCAACGTGACCATCACCGCACCTTATATCTCACTAGACAAATATGGCTATGTCTCTGAAATTAGGAACAACGGTACCTTGATCATGTCTTTCATTCCAACTGAAAAGATGATAGTTTCTAACTCCGAATATTTGCTTAGGGACACCCTGTTAATTTCATCCAAGCAGTCCCAGTTAAAAGCCACCCCCCATCATACCATAGCAGGGGTTAGGGCTATGGCCCCAGAATCCACACTCATCGTAGAAGTCGCTCACAATGGTAAGTTTGATGATTCTGGCGTGGCGTTGACCCACCCCCAAACTTGCAACTTTTACCCGGTGTAACAATACGTTGGGGTGAATCCTACGCATCAGATTTCGTATATTGCCGTATCATTATACGATTGGGGGACTCCCAACAGGGATTACTACCCCCCATAATAAACGGCTATGGTGTTGATATAGACCAGAAGTTACCTATTGACCCTTCCCGTATCTACACATACGAGAATCTAAGTTTTATAAGCCTCAGGTACGTTGACCGACTATTAACTGAAACCCAATTAAAATATCTTTTGTAATATATATTATAGGATGGGGCTATACCCAGTCGTAGAGGAAGTAGCGAAGACCCTGGAAACCGTAGACGGGTTCCGTTTGAGGCAGTTATGTGATGTGAAACGCCAACTAGAACAAGACCGCGACACGCGGAAAACACTATGTAAAAAGTACCATAGAGCTTTCAATATCGTAGACGGAGCTGATACTGCCCTTATGGCAACCAGCATGGGGCTAGGGGCGGCAGGTGTTGGGTTGTTAGCTACCATCGTGGCTACTCCCGTAGTGCTAGGCATTGAAATAACAGCTGGGGTGGCAGGGGTGTTAGGGTTGGCGCTTAAGTTTGCATCATGCAGACTGCATCGTAAGGCATTGAAACACGACGAGATCAGGGTTCTGGCTGAAGCAAAGCTGAACACAGTAAGTGAGCGTATTTCCACGGCACTCACTGACAGTAAAATCTCAGAGGAGGAGTTTCGTTCAATCCTCTCTGAACTCACAAAATATAATAAAATGAAACGAGATTCGATCCAAGTCTCGTAAGTCTGCTATCAGTGAGGACGAGAAAAAAAAGTACATAGAACAAGGAGTGAAAAAAGCCCAGCAAGCCTTTATTACAAACACCAAAGAGATCATAGGCGATTCACATTAAACTGTTTCATCGAGGTAAACGTGGCATAGCGACACAATAGTGCCATAGCGGCACGTTAGACGCAGCCCAGCATTGGATGATGCAATCCCAGGATACCAACCTACTTCAACCATGTCCCCGGTAGTTAAGCGGCGCGGACATGTGCAGTTCGTATCCCTTAGCGTCCCAAACTTTTTTATAGTAGGGGTAATGGTAGCAAGAGCTAAGGGTCCGACCAAAGCCTTATTTGGGAAATAAGGCTTTGCAGAGGCTTCTGTTGGACCTGGTCCAGAACCCCCATTGTATATACTACTTGTGGTATGACATGTTTCATGTGATGAACACTGATGACATGTGGTATGACATGTTTCATGTGATGAACACTGATGACATGTGGTATGACATGTTTCATGTGATGAACACTGATGACATGTGGTATGACATGTTTCAGCTTATGAACACAGATGGCATGTCATATGACATGTTTCAGGAGATGACCACTCATGACATGTGGTATGACATGTTTCATGTGATTAACACTGATGATATGCAGTATGACAAGTTTCATATGATGAACACTGATGACATGTGGTATGACATGTTTCAGGTGATTAACACTGATGACATGTGGTATGACATCTTTCATGAGATGAACACTGATGACGTGTGGTATGACATGTTTCATTTGATGAACACTGATGATATGTGGTATGACATGTTTCATTTGATGAACACTGATGACATGCGGTATGACATGTTTCATGTGATTAACACTGATGACATGTGGTATGACATGTTTCAGGTGATGGACACTGATGACATGTGGTATGACATGTTTCAGGTGATGAACACTGATGACATGCGGTATGACATGTTTCATGTGATGAACACTGATGACATGTGGTATGACATGTTTCAGCTTATGAACACTGATGACATGTCGTATGACATGTTTCAGGTGATGAACACTAATGACATGTGGTATGACATGTTTCGTGTGATGAACACTGATGACATGTGGTATGAAATGTTTCATGTGATGAACACTGATGACATGTGGTATGAAATGTTTCAGGTGATGAACACAGATGACATGTGGTATGACATGTTTCGTGTGATGAACACTGATGACATGTGGTATGACATGTTTCAGGTGATGAACACTGATGACATGTGGTATGACATGTTTCATGTGATGAACACTGATGACGTGTGTGTGGTTGACATGTTCCAGGTGATGAACACCGATGACAGGTATGTGCCGGCTAAGCCTGTCCCCGGCGCCATCGTGGTCAACATTGGTGATATGATGCAGCGATGGACTGCGGATCAGCTTAAAGGCACAGTGAGCAAACGTTACTGTATAGAACCAAACGAAATATCATGCAAAATTGTGAAACTTGTGTCAATGAACTGCAAGCTCAAAATGACCTTCTATGAATGTGTCGTGTACATTGACGCTCATGATGTCAGTCACTAGACTGTCTGGTTTAAACAAGATTATTTACAATTACTTATAGCGTTACACAAACAAAAAAAACCTTCAGGATGTGTGTGTGTGTGTGTGTGCATGTATATTAGTGGACCCAACTATCATTACCTATGAGGGCGAAGATATCGGGGTTCATATATATATTTCATATGATGCCCAATTGCAAAATTTCAATGTGTCATGGCTACGCGACGTCATGAGCAATGTTATGACGTCATGTGTCTTCTATGACGTTGCACCCTACATGCGGTGACGGCGGGTAGCCAGCCTATGTTAGACAGTAGATTTTTTTGTATATTTTCTTCACTTTCACGCCTTCGGTAATGAAAAGAACATTATATTCGTGCCCATATCATAGTATGTTTATGACACGAGTGCATAAATGTTGGTATTTACCCAGCGAGAGCTACCCGCCGTATGAAAAATATTTACCTCATATTTTCGCCCTCGTAGGTAATAATGGATGTCCCTTGAAAATACAACCGCCGCAGCCTCCGGATTCATATACATTTATATTTACAACCTCTCTGTGGCCAAGTTAAAATCAGTGAGTAGTTGAGATCAGTCAGTTTCAGAATGGGGTAACTGCCTCTGTGTTTATGGTGTGAAGAGTCAATCTTGTCAGTCACAGATTGGTTAAATTAGATAAAAACGTCAAAGTGCATGGTGACGTCACAAACAGTATGTAGACGTTAATCCCATGTTCTTGGGGCAAGCCAAATCTCAGAATAGCTTGTACCAGCATAGTACATGATGTCTGCTACAAGGTTTTATCGGTCAGCTGTTCATGGACACCTTGAGCTTGTGCAAAGAAACTGTACATGAATGGCTGAAAGTGTGTAATACGGGATGTAACTCTGATCAGTATTCACATAGACAGGCGGCGGATAATGTCCACATTAAGAGAAGTAACGGCATGAAGGGTCTGATCTGGTCCGTCATAGCTTGGTAAAAGTCCACGTGGAACGGTCTGACGTATCAAATAGTACGTCGATGTTATCCCCGTGTTCTTATTCCACTTGGCCTACACGACATACGAACTGCAAAGATGTGGTTCAGCTGTTAAGGTGATTATGGATAAGGGAACGTTACCTGATTGGCTGAAAGTTTGGAATCAGTTTGTTTTGGGAGTTTGTAACATCAATATTCCGCAGAATTGTCAATATCTTGGGTGGCTACTCACACAGACATCCGCGGCGGGTAATGCCCACAGGTTAGTGTTGAAGCTTGACTTCATGCCCGACGTTAAACATATGCTAGAACGGCCACCCTCACATATAGCTAAGTCATGGCGTCCATGACCTGACCTGAAATCATGATTGTTATTGAGGAACATTGTTCCCTCTTGTGTCAAGTATATCCTCCACGTTTGTTATTTTCAGAAACACCGGGTCCTGATTCCTGAAGCGGAACTTAAGAAACATCAGAGTCGACAATCAGTTGCTTTCTTTGTCAACCCTAATAGTGATACCATGATTAAATGTCTGGATGGTTCAGACAAATATGAACCAATCTCATGCGAGGACTATCTGAACTATAGGTTCAGTCTGACCTTTTAGTTATGGAGGGGCGGTGGGGTAGCCCAGTGGTTAAAGCGTTGGCTCGTCACGCCGAAGACCCGGGTTCGAATCCCCACATGGGTACAATTTGTGAAGCCCATTTCTGGTGTCCCCCGCCGTGACGTTGCTGGAATATTGCTAAAAGCGGCGTAAAACCAAAATTCAGTCAGTCAGTATTAGTTATGGGGGCAAGCACTTGCCAACATTGCTTGGGAAATCTTATCCTTAACAATTAAACCATATGTTTTGCCGCTTCATCGTGTGCGTTTCATAGCCTACTTTTACAGAATGGTAATGCTGATAGACATCCCGACAGCAATGGTACAAGAATATTTATTTTGAGCATCATTAAAATTATATGAGGTTAGATACATTTTAGGGTATAACTTGAATCTTGGTTAGAAATCACATATAGTACTTGGCTTGTTAGTTCTAAATATACAGACTAAGGTGATCACATGTAAAGCTCATTGTTGTTATTTGTGACACGGTAGTCAGTCGTCTAAGGCTCCGCAAATAGCTGTGCAGAGTTGCTTCCCTATGACACGCCAGAAACCTTTGCTGTGGGTTGGTGAGTGAGGGAGTTTAATTTTACGCCGTACTCAGCAATATTCCAGCTTTATGGCGGCGGTCTGTAAATAATCGAGTCTGGACCAGACAATACAGTGATCAACAGCATGGGCATCGATCTGCACAATTGGGAACCGATGACAGCGAGCCTGACCACCCGATCCCGTTAGTCGTCTAACGACAAGCATTGGTTACTGAAGGCACATTTTAAACCCGGACCTTCGCGGGTCTGTGGGTTAGGATACCGATTGGGTATTGTGCCATAGTGGTTAGGGTCGGTGTTTTGTCCGGTACAGAGTTATTTGGGCACACAAACAGGACACACAGTCAGCGAATTGAAAGTTGCTGCGAATGAAATGTTATTACATGGACAGACAATTTTGTCAAGGTACAGTAACGATCAACAGTCCATAACGCATCTTGCATATGCAAAATGCCACCATATTATTATAACAATCCATCCCATGATAAATTTGTCTCATTAATGTCAACAACATACTCTGTTCTTATATTAAAGGAAGATCTCAATGTTCCTTAAAAGTAATGTATCATGTTAAGTAGTCTTGCATTGTATATCAATATGACTTGCTCACTGTAGGATGATTTTTGTATCCTAGCACTATGGGCCATGAGGCCGCAAATGCAAAAATATACTTGTCACTTGTCACACACTTAAACCACATCACAGAAGGGGTCTACAAGAATGTTTACAGGATCACTAGCGATTCTATGCACCTTTTCCGTTGATGCAAGCCTCTCAACTGCGCTTCATGAAGACCACTGAAGGTTGATACTTCCTGCGATCATTATTTTGTTGTCACTTTTCGCTGTTTGTTACGAAGGGGGAACCACTTGAGGACAGAACAGTCAGGTGACCAACAAGCGTGTGCAGTGAAATTTGAATTTCACACGTACAACTTGCACACTTTGCTGTTCTACCAGCAAGTGTACCTCCTTCGTAGGAAATAGAGAAAAGTGACGACAAAATAATGATTGTCTGATAAAGAACTTTTTTATTCGGGTGTCCACAATTATGTGACAAATCATCAGAGTGACTGCGCAAAGTTTGGTTTCGTTCCATTTATTAGATTTTGTGTTAGTGAGCAATTCATCGGTCTCAGACAGACAGACAGACATTTTGTTCAGTAATAGGCCACTGGCCCAAAATACATTCATAAATATGATAAGAAGTTACATGCGTTTTACCAGGGAGGCTATATAACGTTGTATATTATCCCTGGTTTTACATAAAAAACATCAGAATCTCTTATTTTCCCAACATAATATAAAAATAGGCACAAATTATTATAACATTTATGTTTGTTGAATCATTATGTTTATAAACCTGTGTTGTGAAAAAGGATGTTTCAAATATTTACCCAGAAACTTATTCCTTATATCTAGGTAGGCTTTACAACAAAGTAAAACATGTATTTCATCTTCAATTAAATTAAGATTATTTTTGTAGCAAAAAGGACAGAATCTTGAATAATAAGGGACATTGTTATATCTACCGGTCTCAGAACTAAGTTTAAATTTACCGCATCTAAATTTTGTTAAACAATTTCTTAAATATGGGGCAATTTCTAAACTGAGATAAGTTTCAACATTCATCGGTCTCAAATGACATCAAACGGACTATAGCTGGACGTCTTGCACGGTTCCGTTCTCGCAGATACACCGCAGATGTGGTACGGACTGTGGGTGGTGCAAGATTGTTTAAGACTTCCGTAATAAAACTGAGTCTGGATAGCAGTTAATAGATCGTAAGTCAGATTTCCTTACTAAATGTGTCAATATTTTAGCAAACTCACCCTGTCATCCCACCAGGTCCCCGAGTTGGTGCTGCAGGTGCTTGGGTGGTCACGTGGTCACGTGGTGTCACGTGATTTTGTTACGTTTACTAAGTTGAGGCCACACAATAATCAACCACATTACCCTGATGTCCTATAAATATTTATTCCCCGTTTGTATCTTTCCATGATCTTGTGAGTGTCAGCTATGAATTGAGACATATAAAAACATGTTCCCCATTTGCATTCACTGTTATATCTTTGCATTTTCTAGGAATGTCAATACTGCTATTTTCATGGTCAGCAACATCTTTAACATATGTTATATCTGGGATTACACTTTCTTTGTAAAGTACAGATTCTAGTAGTTTTGTTGGGTTGAGTCCCATCCGGGATTCGAACCCACACCCTCAGAGTCAGGCACCTAATCACCAGCACACAAAGTCAGACGCCTAGACCGCTCAGCCACCGCGGCTTCCACAAAAATGGAAGTCGGACAACTGGTAGTCTAGACTGCGGACTTTGTGTACCCCTCTGTGAGTGTTAATTGGCACGGCTCCCACGGCCAAAAGCTATGAAATACGCAATGCCATTTAGAAAGTGATCTTTCTAAATGGCATTGCGCATTTCGCAGCATCTGTTGGTAACTGATCTACTGAGTCTTACTCTATGAAACATTGCCCATGGACAAGATACAGTCTGACCAATCCTCGCACATACGGTTGAGATCGATTGCTTGATAAACGCTGCAAAACCTCTGCTGTATCCCACGCACTGCTGTCAACATATGACTTATATATGAATTGTAAACGTCTGACTTGAGGGAGGCGGACATTATTCGTTCTTAAAATAATCATGGATGTTTTGTCAGTTTTGTACTTGCGTTTCTGTATTTCTCCAGTGGGGTAATTATTCACTCACTCACTCACTCACTCTTACTCACTCTCACTCACTCACTTACTCACTCACTGAGTGAAGACTCCTCAAGCAACGTCACAGGCCGCCAACCACGTTGGTTAAACTTGGCCAAGCGCTGCAAGAGGAGTGAGAGGGTCTCCCCCGAAACGCCATAAGCGGGCAGTACACCTCCTCAACTGAATGAATGTTGGACAAACCGTTTGAAAGTTACCAGTTTATCCCTATTTTACTCCTGTTGACCTTACAGTTCAAAGACGGTCATCTGCTGTCATACTTCACTTGGCAGTTAGGTGTTCTCAATTCGATAGTTATTATCACACAAGTTATCATGATACAGTGTCATCATCCATCACACATGTAATGAGTATATTCATACAGTGTCATCATCCATCACACTTGCAATGAGTATATTGATGCAGTGTCATCATCCATCACACATGTAATGAGTATATTGATACAGTGTCATCATCCATCACACATGTAATGAGTATATTGATACAGTGTCATCATCCATCACACATGTAATGAGTATATTGATACAGTGTCATCATCCATCACACTTTCAATGAGTATATTGATACAGTGTCATCATCCATCACACGTCATGAGTATATTGATACAGTGTCATCATCCATCACACATGTAATGAGTATATTCATACAGTGTCTTCATCCATCACACATGTAATGAGTATATTGATACAGTGTCATCATCCATCACACATGTAATGAGTATATTGATACAGTGTCATCATCCATCACACGTAATGAGTATATTGGCACAGTGTCATCACCCATCACACATGTAATGAGTATATTGATACAGTGTCATCACCCATCACACCTGTAATGAGTATATTGATACAGTGTCATCATCCATCACACATGCAATGAGTATATTGATACAGTGCCATCATCCATCACACATGTAATGAGTATATTGATACAGTGTCATCATCCATCACACATGCAATGAGTATATTGATACAGTGTATATTGATGCATCATCCATCACACATGTAATGAGTATATTGATACAGTGTCATCATCCATCACACATGTAATGAGTATATTGATACAGTGTCATCATCCATCACACATGTAATGAGTATATTGATACAGTGTCATCATCCATCACACATGTAATGAGTATATTGATGCAGTGTCATCATCCATCACACATGCAATGACACATATATTGATACAGTGTCATCATCCATCACACATGTAATGAGTATATTGATACAGTGTCATCATCCATCACATATTGATGTAATGAGTATATTGATACAGTGTCATCATCCATCACACATGTAATGAGTATATTGATACAGTGTCATCATCCATCACACATGTAATGAGTATATTGATACAGTGTCATCATCCATCACACACACATGTAATGAGTATATTGATATAGTGTCATCATCCATCACACATGTAATGAGCATATTGATACAGTGTCATCATCATCACACATTGTCATCATCCATCACACATAATGAGTATATTGATGCAGTGTCATCATCCATCACACATGTGAGTATGATATATTAATGATACAGTGTCATCATCCATCACACTTGTAATGAGTATATTGTAATGTGTATATTGAGTATATTGATACAGTGTCATCATCCATCACACATGTAATGAGTATATTGATGCAGTGTCATCATCCATCACACATGTAATGAGTATATTGATACAGTGTCATCATCCATCACACATGTAATGAGTATATTGATACAGTGTCATCATCCATCACACATGTAATGAGTATATTGATACAGTGTCATCATCCATCACACATGTAATGAGTATATTGATACAGTGTCATCATCCATCACACATGTAATGAGTATATTGATACAGTGTCATCATCCATCACACATGTAATGAGTATATTGATACAGTGTCATCATCCATCACACATGTAATGAGTATATTGATACAGTGTCATCATCTATCACACATGTAATGAATATACTGATACAGTGTCGTCATCCATCACACTTGTAATGAGTATATTGATGCAGTGTCTTTATCGATCACACTTGCAATGAGTATATTGATACAGTGTCATCATCCATCACACATGTAATGAATATACTGATACAGTGTCGTCATCCATCACACTTGTAATGAGTATATTGATGCAGTGTCTTTATCGATCACA